GAGCTTAGAACATGCTGTGCTAAAGTTATTGTTTATTAAGAACAAATTTCAGTTGTACAGAATGAATGAATGAATGAATGAATGACAGACACACACAACAACTACCTATACCTCGCGTAGGCGAGGCCAATTAGGGGTGATTTCGGAGCCATTTTTTGGGAAAAACCATGGGCTATAGTACAGGAAATTATTCAAAATTTGACCCATGTTTAAAATGGCCATAACTCGAAAAATTGAAGTTGGAATCAGCTCAAACTTTCTACATAGCATAAGTACATTAATATGTATCAGAAAATGTAATAAAAATTGGGGGTGATTTCGAAACCATTTTTTGGAAAAAACCATGGGCTAAAATGGCCATAACTCGAAAAATTGAAGTTGGAATCAGCTCAAACTTTCTACATAGCATAAGTACATTAATATGTATCAGAAAATGTAATAAAAATTGAGGGTGATTTCGTTGCCATTTTTTGGAAAAACCATGGGCTATAGTACAGGAAATTATTCAAAATTTGGCCCATTTTTTTTAAATGGCCGTAATTCAAAAAAATTGAAGTCGGAATCACCTCAAACTTTCTACATAGCATAAGTACATTAATATGTATCAGAAAATGTAATAAAAATTGGGGGTGATTTTGGAACCATTTTTTGGAAAAACCATGGGCTATAGTACAGGAAATTATTCAAAATTTGGCCCATTTTTTTAAATGGCCGTAACTTGAAAAATTGAAGTCAGAATCACCTCAAACTTTCTACATAGCATAAGTTCATGAATATGTACCAGAGAATGTAATATAATTGAGAGTAATTTTGGAGCCAGTTTTTGGAAAAAATCATGGGCTATTACAACACAGGGATTTTTCAGAATATGAATTTGCTACAATGGTATGTACATGTATAGCTCAAAAAATGAAGTCAAAATTACATGTACTAGTAGCTCACAACGTAATGACAAAAAAGTATATTTTAAAATTGGGTATTTGAACAAGATGCTGATAGTCACTTTGTACAGAATCAATACTATTATTATGTTTCATTTTATATGTGTTGCGTCTTTATTCTTAAAATTAAAGTTAAAACCATTTTTCAGCAAATGGGCCACAACTGGCAAAAAATTTTCTGATGCACAAAATATTCTTCTACTAGATTCTACATGCATGAAGAGTGTTTCAGGTGATTTTTAATTACTTGGGAGTTGATGAAGAAGATTTGATAGAGTCCAATTTTACATGATATTCCTGGACTTGATCCTTCAACACTTTAATCATTTTCTCTTTGTCAGAACTAAGACAGAAACAAAAAATAAAATCATTTATTTTAAAATCTTTTAGTAAATATTTATATCATAAAATTTTTTGATTATGGTGCACAAATTAAATGCTTTAATAACAATAATACAAGTACACCCAATCCTTAGTAAATAAGTACATGTACATGTACATGTACATGTATGGTCACAGCTTACACTTGTGCTGAGAGCAGTTCTTCAAGTTCTGTGATTCGTTTGATGTGTTCTTCACAATCTTTTTTCACCTGACGCATTTCTTTTGATAGACTGTCCCTCTCATTTGTGACCTTTTTAAGAGATTTATCTTTTTCTGTAAAATAAAAAAATAATTAGATCTATAATGAGGCTAGCAATTTTAATAAATGACAAAATAAATAGGAATAAAATACAATGTAGTGAGTGTAGTTGTAATAAAATATAGCACTTTAGCATCACACATAAACATAGAACAACACAATCTTTTCTCTTCTTAATTCTCTCTCTTTCTTACTTCATTTGTTTTTGTATCAATTGGAGCTCTTCTTCGAGTGATTTCGCTTTCTTTTTCTACTCTTCTGCTTCTTTTCAAAGCGATAATTGTTCCCATTTCCCAACAACATGTGCGTGAATGGGAGTGGCAAATAGATCTAGATCTATGATTATTGTTATGAATGTGTTCTTTGGAAATGTTGCAGGTTGTCTTCTTAGCTCTGTTCTCCCTCATTAGTTGTGGGATCACACAGTCTTGCACAAATGGTTCAGCTAGATTGGTAAGTGGGTCATTATGTGAATTATGCACATCAAAATTTTTAATGATTAATTTACAGTCTACTGACGGTCTTCCATATGGAGCAGTTGAGGCTTGTGTT